GAGGGGCCTGGCTTGCTCTACTCATCGGGAGGATCTGTCTGCACAGATGTGTTCGTCTCAGCACAGCCTGTGGGGCAGGGTGTGCTTTCTTTTTTGGGGTTTTGGGATCGGGACTAACTTGGGGACATTTGTTGGTATGTTCTGAAGGTCTTTGAAGGAAATCGCCCAACCAACTCCATTGTGTTCACTAAACTCACACCCTTCCTTCTTGGGGCCCTGATTGGTGAGTGAACAGAGGAAGGGACTGGCTTGGGGGAGGTGAGACTGGGCTTCTGGAGCCCTAACATACGCTGTCCGCCACCTCTGCAGCCATGTACGAGCACAAGATCTTCGTCCAGGGCATCGTCTGGGACATCAACAGCTTTGACCAGTGGGGGTGAGTTGCTGACTCAGGAGGGTCAGGAGGTCGGCTCGAGGATTTCCCTGGCAATGCTGGACACTTCCTTATACCATTCTTCCCATTCCTGGCAGAGTGGAGCTGGGAAAGCAGCTGGCTAAGAAAATCGAGCCTGAGCTTGATGGCAACGCTCCAGTGACCTCTCATGATGCTTCCACCAATGGGCTGATCAACTTCATCAAGCAGCACCGTGAGGCCAGAACCTAGGACACTCATGCTCAGCTGCAGCTCCTATTGTGACGGTCCTTCTTGTCCCTCCTCACCAGAGTCTGCACTGCATGGTCCTGCATCTCTCCACCCAGAGCACCTTCTGGTTGTGGGCTTGGACAACAAACCCTTCTGAGGAAGTTGGTCTGGAACTGCCACTCGAATCCCTCTCTGTCTGCCCTCCCTGTTTTACAGTTGGCTAAGGTGTTTCAGTGCAGCTGATCAGCTGATTTTTCTGACCCATCTTCACATTGTTTGGGTTCCAGGTAGAAAAATAAAGATGCCACAAAGGAGGTCGGAGGCTCAGCCTGTTACTGTTCCCAGGGATAAGGCTTATGCAGCAGAGTGCCCAGTAGGGGGAGTGCTGGGTCTTGGTTGACACTAGATTATGAGTGGGGGAGCTGGTTTAGTGTGGAGAAGAGAGTGGGCTGGATGGGGCATAAAGTCAGGAGGCAAATATCCCATCTCCAACTCCTTCCACTCCCCACCTCTGTGATTTTAAATTATACATTTCTGTTCACTAGCTAGTTTTTATTTTTAGTATTTAATTTTATTCATTCATTCATTCATT